AACGAAGTAGCAAGAACGATGAGTGAACTGCCTGCAGTAGCGTTGGCTTAGACACAATGGTGAGTTAAGTGGCAGGATCACGTAAGGAATGACTCTATTCTCTTCCGGGAACAGACGACCTCAACAGCCATGGAAATTGAGAAACAGATTGGCCCTGTTGGACAAACTAGTTGAGCATAGGGCATTTACTCTAGCCCGTGAGCTTCTCGTGTTGGAGCTGAAACATGGCAGACGTCGACCAGGAGGCCAACGTGCAACATTGGGGTAATAAGGTAGAAAGATTTCTGCTTTCGCAAGAATATTACCTTGTGTGATGCAGTAACCGGTGCCTTATAGCAAACGTGTTGAAAAGCTGCAGATACAGCGGAATCAAAAGCAGAAACATTGTGCTTATGCAAACGGCTCAAGGTGGCGATCTCAACAAACGCACAACAACATAATCATGAAACATTATTTGTTGATTAATACATTGTTTTTTCTGGCGTGGAGAGTACGAATTATTAGTAAGAGAGTAGTTTCCATGATGAATCCTTAAATGTCCTACTAAAAAGCCTAGATTCTATTTTTTGCGAGACATCACTTCTGATTGACTAATGGTTTGACATGATATAAAACCTCAGCAATAATAAACAGTCTTTAAAACCATGTCCATTGCAACGTCTGAAAACTCGTGGTTGCATATAAAACGGATGCTTTAACGTCAAAGCTGGATTTGTCATCCAGAACCGGTCAGCGTTTCAAGTATGTACTTGCAGACCACTTCCTAGTTTTTGTAGCAGCGGGTAACAACTGCATGCAAAGAGCAGGCAAAACTCGAGCAATTGGGTAAAGGAAAGCAGCTTACGGAAAATGGAGTCGTCGTCAAATCCGGCGCTGAATGCTGCAAGAAAACGATGATAAGTTTTTCTAGCAAACACGCTGATACGAGCAAACAATCCAGCTTCAAAATCGGCAGAGTAAATAAGCTGAAGCATACCGTATGCGGGTAAAACCGGGTACCATCAGTGCTCAGTCCCTAACAGAGGTTCGGGTTTCGTTAGCAGATATGCGAAGAGTTTTCTCGCTTACTATTCCTCGAGAATTCCTAGAAACTGCTTATGGATTTCTAACAAAAATAGCAGCGGAAATAACCAGATGAAGTTCTCCTTACAACCAGCAAACTCACCAAAAAATTGATGTACTCGCTGCAGAGTTGCGCATCACAGCAAAACCGATGTGATGAGACCAACCGGGTGAGTGAATGAACAC